CTCGTCCTTCTAGGCGCTGTTGCGATCTCTCTTCTCACAGAAGCTAGTCTCGCGGCTGAAGCCCCTCGTCTCGGGTCGGATATCTCGTCTATGACGGTTGTTTCTCGCGGTGCGGACCAAGGCGTGAACATCGACAAGCGAATGTTGCGCTACCACAGTAACAACAAGCGTGATGGTGAAGAGGACGAAGAAGAAAGGGGAATCCCCAGTGGTGCGGACCTCGCTCACCTGGCGGGCTTGGCTAAAACGAACAAGGCCGACTCTCTTGGGACGAAGCTTACGGAGTTTTTCAATGGTATGGTTAAAGGTCGTGTCAACCCTTCCAACATCCACAAGACGGAGTTATCGGGTGCAGACTACGACATACTCCGTCAACGGTTTGCAACCTGGTACAGACACTACAAGGACATTGAGTAGAGCACTCGTGATCGACAGCAAGTCTTTTTTTGCAAGACCACGTTTGCCAGCTTGTAGCGATCTAATACAACAGTTACTTGACCGTAACCTAACGTAGACGGTCAGTGCTTCGCCGTAAGACCGTCGTATTTACGCGCGTTCAAGAACAAAAATCGGATTCTGAGATTTAACATGACTGGAGAGGTTGTTTCTAACAATAGAATTCTGTAAATCGGCACAAATTAGTGTTTTTGATAATGTTAATCTGGCCCAAAGTATTCCGGACATTAAAACCGGATATACTGTTGATATGGCCTTCTATCAGATACAAGGCGAGGCTGATGAGCCATAATCGGTAAGTGAAAACTTGGTCATAGCCAGGATATAATCCAGAACGCGTCAACCATCGGTTACCTGGTGCTGCTGCAACCAGTGCAACAAGGTATTCATAAATAGGCGTTTCATTGTTATTCAAGTTTTGGGGAGGAACTGCATTGGAGGCAGCGCTCACGTTGCGAGGAGTGATACCTTGGCGCCTATATAGCTCTTTATGTTCGTGATATTCGCACTCCGGCATAAGGTTCTGGCAACATTTACACGGATTAAAATGACTTCGGCTAATCCTAATTTACCGCAATGTTACGCTTGGCCACCACAGACAACATTCACCATGGTGGCATTACTAGCGCAAAGGATATCTTATATACATCCCGAGTCTACTCGAGTAAAGGATGGGAACCATATCTGATATAAGCTGAAATCACGCGTTACGCAGGCTTAGAAGAGAAAACCCGCTATATTGGGTATGACTATACAACCTAGATTATATATAACAGATCTATCAAGTTCTGAAGCAATTATGCTTAAGATTTAAGTAGACAACATTTGGCTCTGAATGTTAACATAGTTTGGGTCAGAATGACTAGCTTCCTACAACCCAGGATAGAAAACCCAGAGAATTGTTAGACTAAGACAGGGATTCCGACAGTATAGTTTTATTTACAGTTGTGACAACAAGTATTTTACGAGTGGCCTGGTATTGACAGCAAATAAACAAGTGAGCATGCGAGCAATGCGAAAATAAACTATTGTAGTTGTTACTTAAAGAATGACGAACTGTTCAGGACGTACCTCCATCAAATTTCTAGGTAACGTAGTTATTGTTGGGGTTACTAGTGGCGAGGCACTTTGCGTATCTTTCGGCAGTAAAGATTCTTACAATTTCTTCAGGTTGGCGGCAAAGAAACCTTCCCAATGAATATTTCAAATTATAATATTATTCTCTAAAATTGCAATTTCTCTTCAAAATTGTGAATCTAAATACTGAAGCTAGCTATTAATGACCTGCGATCACATCCGAACCCATAGGGAGCGATATAAAGATCGGAAAGGCAGCTGTATTCATTCTCATAGTTTCTATTGTCTTCAACATCACAAAATCTCTTTCCCGGACGTCACTATCACATTGCTGGCATAGCCTAGACGAAAGTAGGGGAGTTCATGACATTGACAAGACGATGCGCCTGGAGCCAGACGGCCGATCGACAGCGCCTTCGTCAATCAGCCTGAAAAACCAGGTATGGGAACTTGACTAACAAGCTTGTATATTGGCAGTGGGAATACAAGAAATCGTTTTTCTCGGAAATATAGCGGGTTTGC